GTTAACCCTCATGATAAAAATGACCAGCGGTGATTGAAACAGACTATGAATTTCGCTGCTGCTTCTCACTCCCCATGCCCCATTGTTTGCATCCCTGATGGGAGCAACGCTTTATCATAAAACTTTTCTGAAAAAAAAAAAAAAAAATGTAATAAGGTTTAATCTTTTTTAGCTGTGCTTCAAGTTTCAGAGTCATATATAAAAAAAAAAAACTGGTTTTATCAGGCATCTTATTTTACAGGCGATAATTTTATTCGCAAACGAATACTAAAAACCTGTGATGCGATGAAATGTGATAAATAAATTATGCCATAAAAGTGTGATGTGATATGATATAATGTGTCAAATAAATGATGTCATAAACGTGTGATATGATATCATATAATGTGACAGATAAATGATGTGATAAACGTGTGATGTGATATGATATAATGTGACAGATAAATGATGTAATAAACGTGTGATGTGATATGATATAATGTGAGAAATAAATGATGTGATAAACGTGTGATGTGATATGATATAATTTGAAAAATAAATAATGTGATAAAAGTGTGATGTGATAAAATATATAAATGAGTTGTAAACACAATGTCCCTACAGATCGAGTACAAGGAGCTGAAGAAGTTTGGGAATGTACAGAACAGGCTCAACTCCTACACCTTCAACGTTGAGGAACATCGATGTGTCACAGACTGTGAGGCCTTTGAGATAGGTCTTCTAGAGGTCAGCGTGCCTAGCCAGTACCACGACATTGCAACAGAAAGAGTGTAAGAGCACTGTCTCATTAGTTTATTGTTTGCAAATATAGGCTGAAGCAACGCAACAATAATCAATCAAAGTTGACCTTTACAACATCGGTCCTTTTGTCAAGACAGTTTTGATTCTTGCAGCCTTGACAGGATGGTCAAAGCCATCTTTAGTCTTGGCAACCTTGGTCCTTCGGTCAGCAGTCAACTTTGGTCCTTGATTCATCATCATCTTCATCATCATCATCTGTCTAAACCGATATCTACTGGATCATTATTTATCTGTGCCGCCACTACTTTCTGAAGCACTTTCTGTCCAAATCACTACATTTTGCAGCAGTCTTTATCTAATTAATTATATAATCATAATTTTCACAACACCTGTTACAAATCACCATATCGTCTTGTCCCTGTCCGAGAACATCCGGTAAAGTGCAGCCGGGAAAGATCGAGCCTGGCTTCATGACCCAGGTCGGGCCCACCTTCCGAGATTGTATAGGAAGTAATGGGCCGACACAATCGTCGACGAGGGATGTTTCTACTGATGATCGGTGGACCCCTGCTGTAGTGCTCCCCTGTGTTCTTCTTCTTATATTATTATAATGCTACTGTAAACACATTTTATCTATACAATCTATACATCAACAGGTACACCCTTTGTTATAAGAATCAGTATTATATATGTACTCAGTTGCGTCCTTAAACATCTAGAACTGTTGTCTCTAGCCTACGAGATACATTCCTTAGTTCCCTCACGCCGCCACATATGGAAATGTAGATACCACATCACTTGTGTACTGAACTAATGTTCGATGTTTTAAAATCCACATTTCCACCTTCTGTCAAACACTGTAGGGCTGTGAGGTACGGACCCATCCCCTTGGGTTGGTATGTCAACCAACAGCTAGAGAACACACGCGGATCTGACTGGTCCAACCAGAAGTGCAGGGAGTGGCACGACGTGGATTCCCGAGACACTTCGTGGATTAAGGATCTACTTCCTTGTCCGTGCACTCTCAACCAGGCACTGGCAGATTTTGGTCGCTGGCAGGCTGACCCCGGATGTAACCTCTACACAGGGAGTCAATGTACTTTCCACAAGGGAGCCAAACATTGTGTGCGATCTGTTGCGGCGACGTAAGTATGCCAGCTTGCCGTCAAATTATTGTACATGTTGTCATTATCTCATCTAGTCCAGCTTTATCACTGTTATCATCACTATCATGAAACAGATGTAGAAAGTTGCTCATATATTTGCTAGGTGAACATTATTTCTTCAGCTGAAAATGGAACATCCCACTGATATTTTAAGCTGAAAATGGAACTTCCAAATTATATTTCGAGCCAAAAGCGGGACATCCCAAGTTTCACATGACGAAAGGAAAGCTAAGTTGTCTATAAATAATTCCCTCGAAGTCGGAGTACAGCTGCCTATGAGGCAGGGAACAGTAAAACGGTTGTACACGCAAAAATCAGGTCCAGGTAAAAGCCAAAAGTCCAAGCGGACGATTAACCCTGACCTTCCGCCGGAATTCACAGCCGGTGAACGAAGAAGAAGAAGAAGTCTACAAATAAATTTCTCCTGAGGAGTAGCAAATGCCTCTTCTTCTTTCGTTTGCTTGAAATAAATGATGTATGTCTGCATTTTTGTCTCTTGTATGAACATAACCTCCTTTTTCAATTCAAACAACGACCCTTGAAGTTTGGCTTCCACTGGTGTTTCACTTGACCAAACGTTTAGCCGTGAAATTTTGTATTTATTGAAAATACACAAGACAGAAGGTTGTAGATAGACATGACTACCGGTGCCATACGGGATGGAAGAGAAGAAGAAGAGGAGGAAGAAGAAGAAGAAGAAGAGTGAAAAGAAGAAGAAGAAGGAGGAGGAGGAGAAGAAGAAGAAGAAGAAGAAGAAGAAGAAGAAGAAGAAGAAGAAGAAGAAGAAGAAGAAGAAGAAGAAGAAGAAGAAGAAGAAGAAGAAAAATAAGAAGAAGAATAAGAAGAAGAAGAAGAAGAAGAAGAAGAAGAAGAAGAAGAAGAAGAAGAAGAAGAAGAAGAAGATGAAGATGAAGAAGAAGAAGAAAAAGAAGAAGAAGAAGAAGAAAAAGAAGAAGAAGAAGAAGAAGAAGAAGAAGAAGAAGAAGAAGAAGAAGAAGAAGAGAGATGAAGATGAGAAGAAGAAAAAGAAGAAGAAGAAGAAGAAGAAGAAGAAGAAGATGAAAGAAGAAGAAGAAGAAGAAGAAGAAGAAGAAGAAGAAGAAGAAGAAGAAGAAGAAGAAGAAGAAGAAGAAGAAGAAAAAGAAGAAGAAGAAGAAGAAGAAGAAGAAGAAGAAGAAGAAGAAGAAGAAGAAGAAGAAGAAGAAGAAGAAGAAGAAGAAGAAGAAAGAAGAAGAAGAAGAAGAAGAAGAAGAAGAAGAAGAAGAAGATGAAGAAGAAGAAGAAAAAGAAGAAGAAGAAGAAGAAGAAGAAGAAGAAGAAGAAGAAGAAGAAGAAGAAGAAGAAGAAGAAGAAGAAGAAGAAGAAGAAGAAGAAGAAGAAGAAGAAGAAGAAGAAGAAGAAGAAGAAGAAGAAGAAGAAGAAGAAGAAGAAGAAGAAGAAGAAGAAGAAGAAGAAGAAGAAGAAGAAGAGAAGAAGAAGAAGAAGAAGAAGAAGAAGAAGAAGAAGAAGAAGAAGAAGAAGAAGAAGAAGAAGAAGAAGAAGAAGAAGAAGAAGAAGAAGAAGAAGAAGAAGAAGAAGAAAAAGAAGAAGAAGAAGAAGAATTATAGTAAACTGTTCTCATTCGTTACCGCGGAAGGTTCAAAATAGAAAACTAGGCATGAGTTGTGTTGAGTTAGGAACCGATATCACAGCACTCAGAGCATTCACATAAGCGCCCCATCCTCATCTTCAGAAGCCAGCGCAGAGTTCAAATACCAGTGGTCTCAGTAAAACATTCTTCTTGGCTTTCCTCTGAGCGCCTAGTATCAGCCAGAGTCCCTCGTCACTCTACACTGCATCACTCTCACCAGACTGTGATGATCAATTTGTTGCTCCAAATTCGTACACATGCTCTCATAATGGCGTAACCACGTCTGCCTGCCATCCAATCTGTCCGCCTGTTCATTCCCCAATACTGGGCAGGCGTCAGCACGCACAATTATAGTGACTCTCTTGGATATACTGTCCGTAATATGCAAGAGTGGGAAGGAATGAAACAGCTGATTATTTGGCAACAAAAGCCACAGCTAAAGGAACACTCGTACTGGACAAAGGAGACACTCTAAAGACCATTTATGAAGGAAAGCTGATAAACATTACGGTTCAAATGAAACAAAACGTGTAAGGATGTGTGAACGGGGAATTAGGAGTCAATTCGACAAGGAGAGATGCATGCACGGAAGAGAACGACATATGTACAGTCCAAGACCGGCTCCAGCTGTGAGGCCATGCTACTGACGTCACCTAGCCGGGCTATGATACGTTAAAACGTATCGTAGCCCGGTTAGATGACATAAGCAGCACTTTCCGTCAGCTAGAGAAGGTCACGAGAGTAGTTACTCTCGACACCTTAAGATATTCGCTGCTGTAGATGGAGCACCTATGGGTATGCCCGGTGTGCTATGACATCTATTTATAGGTCAGTAATGCATTAAAGATTACATCAAGCACAGAGGCCGTACTCCGTAGCTCCGACGACAATTCTTATAAAAATCAAAAATCCGTGCGAGAACAAGATGTATACACCATACGTAATTGTAACAGACCACGAAAGCATGCTGAGAAAGGTAAAGACAGGGATGCTTCGAGCAGAGTGGCAAGCTTCACTGGGAAGGTCATGGGTAGTGAACATACTGTGGATCTTTTCTCCAGGCGATGCCGGCGTGGTGGGGAAAGAACAGGCAGACAGACTGGCTGGACCTACACCACTGGGTGGTGAACTGATTCATGACCAGACAGATGTGGTCAAGGCCCATTGGGAACATGTAACGAAGTCAGAAGAGAATCAACATTATTATGACCTAGACAAAATGAGGCACCTGGGTGTAACTAGAGGGCCTGGCCGGTTCACTACACTTAAAGGAAGGGCAAGACGGACATATAGCCAGACTACAACCGGTTCCATTAGTACTGGAACTTCACGTTTGCTGCTAAAGATGAGGACGGAGCGAGGACAGGAATGCCCCGAATGATGTGATGTCAATTCTTGACAGCTCAACTCAGCAATGTATCTAAACACCGCAACCAACCACACACTTCTGCTACCACTCACAGGGCCAAGGACGGAGCAGGTAACCAGTGCTGCTACAACAACGACGGAACCCTCAGTCACTCACAGCTGTCCTACCAAGGCAGTACCCCAGACAGGAGTCACGTGTGGGGCGTTTACCCGTACAACTACCCTGGCCGAGTACCGGAGCTGTCTCACTGGAGGCATGATGTCTCCAGCTTCTTTTACTGTTGTCTGTGGAACGAATATGAACTCTGTGACCTTTACATGGAGCTGCGACCTACTACCGACTGCCAGAACTACGACGTCCCAGGCATCGGTAAGTAGCCAGATAACATGTATGAGCTTATGTCTGTATCTAGGGACAAATATCTGTCTTATTTGTGTACAAGTGTTGGTTCTTTTTTGTTTAGCCACCACATCATGCGTGATTTAGTGACATTCCATATTATAGGGGGTTAAGGGTTACAGTTAGTGATAGTTGCTACTAATTTAACACTAACCCTAACCCTACCTCCCTCCATCCTTCCCCTATAATATGGGATGTCCCTAAATCACGCATGACGTGGTCGCTAAACAGAAAAGAACCCAAGTATCTGTCTACGCATTGTAAAAGTGTCTTTCCACCCACTAGAAAAGTCTGATCCTATTTACTAGGAAATTATCGTTCTGTTTACGGGCAAATTATGATTCTGTTTACTAGGAAATTATCGTTCTGTTTACGGGCAAATTATGATTCTGTTTACCAAGAAGATATAAAACTTAGGCATATTTATAATCACAGTGAAAATATCTTTCTTCTTTTTCTTCTTCTTCTTTTCGATATCATCGTTCCTGAGTCGATCTATCTTTGTTACATCTAGCGCTTTACGTAAACATTTCATATCTGTCGTGACTATTTGCCTTTTGTCTCCTGAAATGTCCATGTGTGACACTAATAGCCCAGTGTTGGTAAGAATGCTACGTTGAACAGTATGAACTATTTTGCTGCTCATATTCACCTGCCTGCATTTCAATATTGTCACTATTTGTCCTATAACGTTATAAGCTTTGTTATATTTATGTATTAATTCTTCCGGTTTTTTTTTTTTTTTTGGTAAAAAGAAAATGCCTTCTAGATGTGTAAAATCCTTCGCCTACTTGTTCTCACGTGCATCAGTTGTGATGTTGGTGGTCCTTTCTATTCTGTTGAATGTCATCGCTAGAGGGGACTGCGTGGTCTCTAGACATGGTGTCCGCCTCGAGTGCTGGAGGTTCCAGGTTCAATCCCCAGTAATGGCTGGGATTTTTTTCACGCTGACTTGGACTTCTAGTAATTTACGCTGGTCTCTGGGTAGTGAGATCGGACGCCCGTGTGCATTGTCGTGCACGTAAAAAAATCTCTTTGCAGTTGGAAATCAAAAAGAGTAGACTAACGGCGCTTCCCGGGAAAAACTTGGAGTTAAAAGTCTTATCTAAAGTATTTCAGAATCATCGCCGGTGCTACAGAGTCTGTGCACTGTGCTGAGCTTCTTGGGATTCAGATTTGAGTTAGAAGTAGAACGGTGAACTTATGGGTTACTGTCCTTATGCCATGATGTTGATTCGTTGTTCGAGCCTCCAACCTCATACCTTATATTCACTAGAAACGGCTGACGATGCCCACCATGATAATTTGTTGAAATCTTGTTCGTGTGCAGGTTTCATCTATGGACTGACCCACATGAAGACATTCGATGGACTCTCCTATCACGTGATCACCTCAGGAGACTTCTGGTTGGCTCGGTACCGAGACTTGTCACTGTCAATACAGGGAAAGTTCGAACCTAGAGCCGGAAGCTTGGGTAAGGTGTCCATCTCTGGTCCTCTGAAATCTCTTCTTCGCTTTACCCGGCTGTACACTCTGGGGGAAAAGTTCTGACTGTACATTTCTAATCATTGGTTTTGTCCCAGAAGTTGCGTTTTGTGTGCACATACGTTTTACATATCTGGCTTATCTGTGTGTGCAGACTGTTGGTTCCCCACCTCTCAAAGCAGATGCACTCCGACTATGAAGGAAACAACCCTAATTTTTAGCCTCCTACGACATGATTGTTAGCGGAACAAGGACTCTCTTTAATCTCCAAAACGGAGCTACCGAACTAGAGTTTGCGTCCTAGGACAACTGAATGCAAGATTTGATATCTGACGTTACATTTCGTTTGAAGAACTTAGAGCACAGAACATTACTTCAAACACAGAAGATTGCCTAGAATACAGAAGATTGCCTAGAATACAGAAGATTGCCTAGAATACAGAAGATTGCCTAGAATACAGAAGATTGCCTAGAATACAGAAGATTGCCTAGAATACAGAAGATTGCCTAGAATACAGAAGATTGCCTAGAATACAGAAGATTGCCTAGAATACAGAAGATTGCCTAGAATACAGAACATTACTTCGAACACAGAAGATTGCCTAGAATACAGAAGATTGCCTAGAATACAGAAGATTGCCTAGAATACAGAAGATTGCCTAGAATACAGAAGATTGCCTAGAATACAGAAGATTGCCTAGAATACAGAAGATTGCCTAGAATACAGAAGATTGCCTAGAATACCATGGACCGAGAAAAAGAAAAACGCCGACATCCTACATGATTTAAACAGAGAAGAGAACTGGCTCTTAAACAGCATTCTGTCGCGAAAGCTGACGTATTTGAGCCATGTTAAAGGTCACGGTGGCCTGGGGAGAACGAGAATTGAAGGCACAGTCTAAGGAGAACTGGGCAGAGGCAAACTTCCGCGAATGTGGATACATAAAACAAGACAATTAAATATATTAGCTATGAAAGCACATAGGGCAGGAAAATTCGCCAGAGAAAGAAGACTTTCATGTGTTCTGTGACGAGACTGGCGATATGTACAAACCTGGTGATTAATGATGAGAACATAGAAACAAAGTGTCTTTACTAAGCTGTGAGAAAATCTAGACTATATGCTCTTTAAGATTCCTGTGTCAATTGGAAATGGAAAGATTAGGGTGTGAAAGGTTCAGTTTACATTTCAAATTAGAAACAACCCACAACAGAATATTTATAGAACTTTACAATGACATGGGTTTCGTGCACTGGACTGAGATAATTGAAAAAAAAACTATGTTTATGAAAAGATGCCACACTTTGTGTACGCACACACGTACACACACACACACAAACATACGCAGAGAGAGAGAGAGAGAGAGAGAGAGAGAGAGAGAGAGAGAGAGAGAGAGAGAGAGAGAGAGAGAGAAGGAAATAGCAGGGAGAGAAGATTATTTATAGCCTTTTTTTCATGACATGAAACAGTATCAACCTTTAAACGTTTTATGAGATCTCAAATATGTGAAGTGGCATGGTCGTCCACGGCAGTCGACAAGATACTTGTTTCGCAACATATCTCCACACAGTGTGTGAATTGCGGTATCTTACCCGCTTCAGCAGATTTTGGAAAAAGAACAACACATACATATAAATATATTCCAACAAATCTCGACACAGTGTGTCAATTGCGGTATCTTACCCGCTTCAGATGATTTGGGAAAAAGAACAACACATACATATAAATATATCCAAACATTTCTCGAAACTCTGTGTAAACTGCGGTATCTTACCCGCTTTAGCTGATTTGGGAAAAAGAACAACACATACATATAAATATATCCAAACATTTCTCGAAACTCTGTGTAAACTGAGGTATCTTACCCGCTTCAACAGATTTTGGGAAAAAAACGAAGATATACCCCCGAGCCCTGACCGGTGTTGCAGTCACTGAAGGCATAGAGAAGATTGAGGTCAGTTTGGCATTGGATGGAATCAAGCAGAGACGTGCTCTAGATATCAGAGTCGGCGGGGAAATCCAATATTTCTTGGATTCATCTTCTTTCTGGCAGGATTTCCGAGGTAATTGTCTTACGCTCACTTTCGAGCCTTTGTGATATGCATATTTTTGTAAGCCCTGTTGATATTTAATCTTCTCTTCTTGTAATATCTTTGTCAAATCATTATGTAAATAATAAGGGGGTACGCTTTGGAGAATATCGTGTCAGTTGGGACAAGTTGAAAAGGGAGAGGCAGACCAAGAGAGTCGATGACGGATGGATTGAGATGGTGGCATGGAGCTGATCCAGAGGTCACGGCATCGAGATCTGTGGAGATGCATGAGCGCCTTCGTCAGTCGACTGGGCACATGCGGATAAAGATGTAGTAAAAAAGTCACTTAATTTACTTGGAACCAATACCAGTAAATATGTAATCTGGCAGAACTGAAAGTAAAAAAAAAAAAAAAAAATGAAATACAAAATAAAAGCGACTAAACAATTCATCATCATCATCTTCTTCTTCTTCTTGTCTTTCACCGGCTGTAAACTCCGAGGAAAAGTCTTGTTCCAGAACCTTAGGGCTGCGTGCACATCCGTTTTACAGATATGACTCATTTGTATACAGACAGTTGTTTCCTCGCCCCTCAGGCAGATGCACTTTGACGGAAGGTCCCAATTAGTTGACTCTTACGACATGCTTTTGGGGAGGCAATGGATCTATTCTAGTATTTCCCCAAAATGGGGCCCCGGAACCCATACGGGAAAAACAAAGCATCTTATTGTGATCTGAATAAAGTACAAGCTGACTTAAATGGGGTGTCCTGTTTTCAACACGGAATATTAGTGGAATGTCCCGTTTTCAACACGGAATATTAGTGGAATGTCCCGTTTTCAACACGGAATATTAGTGGTATGTCCCGTTGCAGCTCAGAATATGATGGTCCCCTAGAAGAAGCCAACAGAGAATCAGCAGATATCTATTTACATCGGACACAGTTAGACTGAGGAATAGGCGGCACGCACCCACACATGCACCCAAGCACGCACGCACCCACACCCACACACGCACGCACCCACACATGGACCCACGCACCCACACATACACCCACGTACGCACCCACACATGCACCCACACAGGCACGCACCAAAACATATACCCACACACGCACCCACACATGCATGCACGCACGCACGCACCCACACATGCACCCACGCACGCACCCACGCACGCACGCACCCACACATACACGCACGCACCCACACATGCACATACGCGCGCACGCACCCACATATACACCCACGCACGCACGAACCCACATATGCACCCACACATACACCCACGCACGCACCCACACATACAACCACGCACCCAGACATGCACATACTCGCGCACGCACCCACCCACACATACACGCACGCACCCACACATGCACCCACACACGCACGCACGCACCCACACATACACCCACGCACGCACGCACCCACACATGCACCCAAGCATGCACGCAGGTGCCCAGGTTTCATATCATACGCCGCCTGACGTACAGACAATTAAAAACAGGATTTGTTTTCGGCGATAGGGCAAAGCTTTGTCGTAAGCAATCTAATGGATGATGAGCACAATGGTTGCATAGGTTAAATGGGGCAGCCGGAAGGCATATAAACCTTTTTGGAATCAAGAAATTCAAAATACTATATCTGAAAGGAATAAAGCAAGAATATTTCTCGAAACTGCACGTTCAACAGAAGCAAAGATCCAATACAATAAAGCATGTGCCAGAGTAAAGCTTGTAGTTAATAAGGCTAAAAGAGATAAATGGACAGAAACTTGCTCCAACTTAGACCTTAGACAGAATGGAAATAAAGCATGGACTTTAGTTAAAAACCTCTCCGGAGAAAGTAGAAGGGTGAACCCAAAACCAGTGACAGACGGGAGTAAGACAATCACTGAAGACAAGAAGAAAGCAGAACATTTCAATCATTATTTTGCCTCGGTTAACAGAGCAGGTAAGCTGTCAGAACTCGATAGAACACAGCTCTCTCAGTTGAAGAAACAAGAGAGAGCTCCAACAGCCAGCGACTCCCTTTTTGAAAATGAATTTAGCATGGATGAATTAGAGCAAGCCCTGAAGAAATTAAAACCTAGAAAATCTCCAGGCCCAGATAAGATCCACAACGAAATGCTGCTACATCTTGGCCGGTCTGGGAGAGAAGTAGTTCTCAGGCTTATTAATAAAACTTGGAGGTCAAGCAAACTTCCAAGGGCATGGAGGAATGCATATATCGTCCCCATCCTTAAAACCAAAAAGCCTCCAGATGACCCCAAAAGCTACCGCCCGATATCCTTAACATCATGCTTGGGCAAAGTTGCAGAAAGAATGATAAACAGGCGCTTATATTGGTTCCTTGAGAGTTCTGGTGTCCTATGCCATGAACAGGCAGGCTTCAGAACCAACAGCTGCACAGAAGACCAGCTGTTCAGACTGACACAAAGAATACATGATGGCTTCCAGAATAAGAAACACACAGTGGCAGTCTTTGTCGACCTCCAGCAGGCCTATGACAGAGTATGGAGAAAAGGTCTCCTGATGAAGATGATGAGCATAGGAATACATGGCAGATTGTATACTGGGTGAAATACTTCCTGATAGATAGAACAATCCAGACTAAGATGCACAACGCAATCTCTTCTAAAGAAGTCTTGGAGGAGGGCTTGCCACAAGGCTCATCATTGAGCTGTACACTATTCCTAATCTTTATCAATGACCTGCCAGAACAAATCAAGGCCGAAAAAGCCTTGTACGCTGATGACCTAGCAATATGGCAGAGTCATGAAAATGTGGAAAGTGGAGCCCAAAGACTGAATGGAGACCTTAGAAGACTGCATGATTACTGCCAAAGATGGAAACTCAAGATTAACTGTGCAAAGACGGTCTACACAATCTTTACCAAAAGCCACCAAGTAGCAAGGAAGAATATTAACCTGAGGTTAGACAAACACCAAGTGATGAAAGAAGAGCATCCCACATACCTTGGAGTCACACTTGACCCGCAGCTCAGCCTCAAGAACCATATTGAAAACATCAGGAATAAGGCATTGAGGCGGTTACAGTTATTAAAGAGACTTGCAGGTACATCATGGGGATCAGACAAGGAAACTCTGAGGGGCTTATACCTAGGATATGTTTCGCTCTGTGATAGAGTACAACAACTCACTGCTTACAACTTGTTCAAAACTAACCTAGAGACTCTTGACAGAGTACAAAATAATGCCCTCCGATTAATCTGCGGAGCTATGCAGTCCACACCAACTGCTGCATGTGAAATCCATACAAATGTGGAACCCCTCGGGTTGCGGAGAGAAAAAGCCACTTTAGAAATTTATGAAAGATGCGTTAGGAAAAATCGTAACCATCCTAATAGACATCTTGTAGAAAACTGGGAATCCAAACAAAGAATAAAGCACAAATCGGTTTTACACTGTGTTAATGAAATTTCAGGACAGATACCACCTCCCAGAAAGACGTCAAGGAATTCAGAATGTTGCAAAAAACCTACCACCACATGCTCGCTTTAAAGCTCCAGAAGTCCAAACTAAATTGGTAGGCGAGGAAACCAAACAGTCCGACCCAATCGCTCTTATGAACTCATGTCAAAGACCGTGAATGTCACGACCATTAAAGTGGTCGAATCTACATAGTGCACTGTTTTTTGATGCAGAGAATTCTGTTCAAACTATGAGAATAATTGCAAAAAGCAGTATACCACGAATGTTTGTTTATCGAAGGTCTAAAAATATTGTCATCTGTTGTGCCCTTCAACAGATAAAAAACTGACATAGCCAAGATAAAGCTGGATGCTTTTACTCATACCACAACTGATTCCAACACACTGGCAAAAAAAAAAAAAAAAAAGCGACAACCCTCCAGACAAAAAACACTGATAATTATAAACAAAGAGCTGAGTTGAACAGCGGGCCATTAGAACTGGATTTATAGACTATTTGGCCCTGAGACAGCATTATAACTGTAAAATAACCATCTTAGACTAGGCTACTCCACTCAATGGAGCTAAACAGAATACTGTCACAACACTCCCCCCCCCCACCCACCATTCTTTGAGTGCCCAAAAACTCATATACTCCCTCCGAGACAGACATGTTACGGAGGAAAAGAACAGCTTGAAAAATGCAAATTCCATCACGTTGGCGACATCATGTTGAAAAATAGTTGAGAAATGAGAACTTTAAAATAATGTTTTAAGCTCTCCAAGCAGTTAACAGTGTTGTAGTTTTTCTGGCATCAACACCCCCCATTGCTTTCCCTGGCTCCCCACTGTGACAATCATGTCATCCCGCTATCGAAGTATGGAAACAAAGTCATTGCCTGACGAAACCGATTGTTGTTAAATGTGACGCTTGCTGTGGCCCAGAATCCTGCCAAAGTAAGAAAAATAGAAAGCACAGATTAAATCAGTCGGCTACAGAGATAGCCTTAATCCTGTACTGAGAAGTAAATGTGGCCAGTGTAAGAGAAAAAAACAGCTACCACTATCACCTATCGAGTACCAGATACTACTGCTACCACTACCACAACCAACACGTGGCACAACAAAAAACAACAAAAAAAAAAAAAAAAATTTAATAGCTGGGTCACAACTGTTATAACTGTAAAGGTCTTTGTAGCCAGAGGAGTTTTTCGCCTCCCATCAGCTGTTTGAAAAATTATCGGACTGCATAAATACTTGAACACTTTTTGTTCTCACAATTCATAACACTTGGCATCAACACCCCCTCCCCTTTTCATGTCTCAATTCATAAAACTTTACGACATATTTTTTTTGAGCTTGGCATCCTACATAACAAAACGGGTTTAATCACTGAGAAGTTGTGGCCAGTTCAGCTCACATCACATAACCACTTTACCACAACCACCGTCTTTTTTTTCACTACATAACACTTGCAGGTCTTTGTAACACTCTTTTGCTGTCGCTACGGACTGCATAACACTTGAACACTTTTTGTTCTCACAATTCATAACACTTTAACACTCTTTTTCTCAATGCATAACACTTTAACACTCTTTTTTTCACTACATAACACTTTAACACTCTTTTTCTCACTGCATAACACTTTAACACTCTTTTTTTCACTACATAACACTTTAACACTCTTTTTCTCACTGCATAACACTTTAACACTCTTTTTCTCACTACATAACACTTTAACACTCTTTTTCTCACTGCATAACACTTTAACACTCTTTTTATCACTACATAACACTTTAACACTCTTTGTCTCACTGCAAGTGGCATCTTCTTATTGGTAATAATATTTTGCTTTTCGCTAAAGGTCACCTTTGTCATGGCGATTCTGATTCCAATTTCTGCCAGGAGTCTTGCAAAAGATGTTTTAGAACTAACAGGAAGTTCTTGTTTCAGATTGCGCAATAGTTAACAATGCGGCAAATGTCAAGGACAACCGCCATGACAACTTCACCATCTTGCTGACCAAAACAAACGTTGGCATCACCGTGGTGGCCTCGCATGACTTGTTACAGGTCACAGTAGCCGTGCCTCCAAACTTCAAGGTAGGTATCCGTTTCTGAAAATCTCCTGGCCTAGCCCTGCCTCTCCAATATCATCCCCACCTTTCTCTTGTGGGTTCCACTGCCTTCATTAAATTAAAACAGGGAACAGACCCACTTCACCATGGTCTGTCGTAACAGACCACTATTTAGAGATTTCTCCTTTGAAGTCGTAGTGCATCGGCAAGGAACCAACAGTCTGCATACAAATGAAACACTTCTGTAAAGTCAATGTGCACACGAGCGACCAGGCCTGAATGATTGGACTCGACAAAACGACCAGGCATAGTGTCTTCCGAGAGAATTGTGTGGGGACTTTGGACGGGACGTTTGTTGTGTCTAACCGGGACTTTGGACAAGACGTTTGTTGTGTCTGATCAGGACTTTGGACGAGACGTTTGTTGTGTCTGATCGGGACTTTGGACAAGACGTTTGTTGTGTCTGATCGGGACTTTGAAAGAGACATTTATGGTATCTGATCTGGACTTTGGACAAGACGTTTGTTGTGTCTGATCGGGACTTTGGACAAGATGGTTTGTTGTGTCTGATCGGGATTTTGGACAAGACGTTTGTTGTGTCTGACCGGGACTTTGGACAAGACTTTTGTTGTGTCTGATCGGGACTTTGGACAAGACGTTTGTTGTGTCTGACCGGGACTTTGAACGAGACGTTTGTTGTGTCTGATCAGGACTTTGGACGAGACGTTTGTTGTGTCTGATCGGGACTTTGGACAAGACGTTTGTTGTGTCTGATCGGGACTTTGGACGAGACGTTTATGGTGTCTGATCTGGACTTTGGACAAGACGTTTGTTGTGTCTGATCGGGACTTTGGACAAGATGGTTTGTTGTGTCTGATCGGGATTTTGGACAAGACGTTTGTTGTGTCTGACCAGGACTTTGGACAAGACTTTTGTTGTGTCTGATCGGGACTTTGGACAAGACGTTTGTTGTGTCTGACCGGGACTTTGAACGAGACGTTTGTTGTGTCTGATCGGGACTTTGGACGAGACGTTTGTTGTGTCTGATCGGGATTTTGGACAAGACGTTTGTTGTGTCTGACCGGGACTTTGGACAAGAATTTTGTTGTGTCTGATCGGGACTTTGGACAAGACGTTTGTTGTGTCTGACCGGGACTTTGAACGAGACGTTTGTTGTGTCTGATCGGGACTTTGGACGAGACGTTTGTTGTGTCTGATCGGGACTTTGGACAAGACGTTTGTTGTGTCTGACCACTAGATATTTTCTGTGTGTGACTTAAATTAGCAACAGGTATTGTGTGTGGCCATATGTTTAGTCAGACGGTAGGATAATTCAAGTTTAGCTGGTCATTTCTACATACATACATAAAAACATGCATACAAACACACACACACGCACGCGCGCGCACGCACGCACGCACGCACGCACACACACATACACACACACATACAAACATAACACACATACATACATACATACATACATACATACACACACACACACATACACACACACACACACACACATACATACATACATACATACATGCATGCATACATACATACATACATACATACATACATACATACATACATGCATACATACATACATACATACATACATACATACATACATACATACATACATACATACATACATACATACATACATACATACATACATACATACATACATACATACATACATACATACATACATACATACATACATGCATGCATGCATGCATGCATGCATGCATGCATGCATACACACACACACACACACACACACACACACACACACACAGACAGACAGACAGACAGACAGACAGACAGACAGACAGACAGACAGACAGACAGACAGACAGACAGACAGACAGACAGACAGACAGACAGACAGACAGACAGACAGACAGACATACATACATACATACACACATACACTCTTATAAATAGATACGTACATTAACATTGCCATACATTCATTCATAAATGTGCATTTAAACACAAGTGATTACACGCGCAATCATATATAAGCAATCATACACGTTGAAACATATAGACACAGACATGTACCTACATAATATACATTCACACTCACACATACTCATACAAACACTCATGCATACACATATATGCACCCACTCGCATATATAGACACGTGCGCCAACACTCATGCATGCCATACATTGACCGATTCTCATACATATATATACACACATACACACGCATTCGTATATACACAATCGCATACACATAAATACACACGCACCAACGATCGTACTGTGCAGGTTAGGATTGTTATTTTTGGCCTGACAGAAAGAAAACATTTCCAGCAACTTACTGAAGATTCGAACTCGGCCTCGGACTGCTCCAACTGCTTCACTAGTCGCTGTTGTTATCTGTTCAATAAATGCTAACCTTCCAGCAATTTCATTTTTTATTTATGAATTGTTGAACTTTCTATGGATACAGCCGCAGTCCGGGAACAACCCAAACGTCGTGGGACTTCTTGGAGCCTACGACGCTAGTGCAGACAACGACTTCTTCAACAGACAAGGACAAGTTATTTCCCCAGCGAGAGCCAAGAAGGAAATCTATGAGAATTTTGTCCTCACCTGTAAGTCGTGTGTTGTATATCGGAACATGATATTTTGTCTTTTAGCACTCCCTGAGTGGGTTCCAGAGTGAAAAAAAAAAAAAAGTATAGCGAGTCTTAAAAGGCATCTAATTTGGAATTTAGTGAAATCGAAAGTGTCCCATCGAAAGGCGTAGATAAGTATCTTAGTTGTAAAACACAATGTATCTGCTGCTCTTTTTTTAAAAACCTATGTTGAGCACCATGTTCTGTGTCTTCACATTGGAATATTTGTGTGGGGTCGCTGGTGGATCGCGGTGATTCCATAAACTCTGCTGAAGGCCGTGGAGCTACTGGCAGTCTGTGAGCTGAAGATGGTCAAAGGCTAGGGTAAGGAAAACTAAAGCCTGATCATGTACTTATGCAAGAGCTTTCACCAATCCACTCCGGTCAAGAAGAGCTCCAGGCAGTACGCCTATGTACTAGTTTATTCATTATAAGAAAAAGTTCGCGCCTTTACTTTGTTTGATAGTTTTTATACAGATGATTGGTTCTGGCCTGAAGCTAGTTAGGGAATTTACATATCAAGGAAGTATGATCACAGAAGTTGGCAGAATTGACAGAGAAATAGCAACCAGGGGGCAGAAAGCAAGTGCGCACTATATACACCAATTATCACCCTTATTAAGGCCTCAAAATATACATGTGAGTACAATGAAACATTATAAAAACACATTTATTCCAACATTATGCTACCAGGAACCTATCTGAAGCCTATGTATGCAACATCACCACCTGCGAGATAAGATGCCCGAGAAAAGCCGCCAACCTAACCATCCGAGATCGAGTGAATAATGATACAATCAGACAGATTTTGGAAACGACACCTTGTACTTGATTCATCGAGAAACAGCAGATCAAATGGTTCGGCCATCTCGGTAGAATGCATCAACATCAGATACCATCACAAGCACTACATCTCAGAAGATCAGCTTCAAGAGGAAGAGGACGGTTGGGAAAACATGGATCGACAACATTAAAGACACTCTATGCCTTCACGGCGTGACAATAGCCAATGCCATTCCGCGTGCACTGGATCACAAATTGTTCCTCCCCACGCCGCTTAGTGTCATTTTCTGATGATGATGATAATTTATATTACATATTTGATTGCTGGGCAGTGAAAGGGCAGACTGAGAAAACGATGTTCGCAGAAATATGTTTCCTGAGATGGACACAAAGAAAACTTTAAATAACCAGATAGACATTTAGATTTTCTTGGAGTGACCTCGGTTTTAAATAATTTTGTGTATTAATGTTTGTAAACTAACACTGTCGATTTAAGTCAGGTGCTGATGAAAGCTTTCGAGCCGGTCGTTCATGACTGCAGTAGTGCCAAGCTAATTAGTTCTGCTTGTCGTCTGCTTCGATATCTTGATTAGAGGAATTAGACAGTCTCAATCTGAAGTCGGAGCGTGTCTGCCTGACAGACGAGCAACAAACAGACTGTTTACAAATAAGCAGATCTGTAACACGGATGTGCACTGACAATTCAAATTCTGGAACAAGACTAAAGTCTAAAAATGGACGAAAAACCAGAACCTTTTACCGGAGTTTACAGTGCTGAACGCTAACAAGAACAAGAAGAAGACACAGCCAAAACTGTTTGGACATGTTGTTTGGAGACATAAACTTGAGAATTGTGACATCTGAGACAGACAAGAAAGGCTGATGACATTTTAGAGACAGAGCACTTCAAGGGAGTTAATTTATGTTCCAAGGATCTACTCATTGTCGATATGTTCCCCTGGTAGCATAAAGCGATGATGGATATGGCGTGAATCATTTGCTGTTTTGCTGAAAGGGAAATAGATAGAAGTCCGAGCAGTGGGGCAGCGAAAACTTCTTGCATCAATATCAAAACAAGTAACACATGGATTTTGTTCTTGAACGTAATTCCAGGGAAGATACTCGAAGACGACTACAAGCTGTTCAGGTTCTACCACCCAGCCGAGAACCTTGACCTGCAGCATTCAGTTTTTGAGTACAGCCAGATCCCATCCAACTTTTCGGTACGTACACCTTGTCTGCTCAAATTTTGGACTGTGTACTGTAATTAATCCCCGTCTGTACTTCTTGTCTGCTCAAATTCTGGACTGTGTACTGTAATTAATCCCATTCTATACTTCTGTCTGCTCAAATTTTGGACTGTGTACTCTAATTAATCCCCGTCTGTATTTGTTGTCTGCTAAAATTATGGACTGTGTACTGTAATTAATCCCCGTCTGTACTACTGTCTGCTCACATTTTGGACTGTGTACTGTAATTAATCCCCGTCTGTACTACTGTCTGCTCACATTTTGGACTGTGTACTGTAGTTAATCCTGTTTGTACTTCTGTCTGCTCAAATTTTGGACTGTGTACTCTAATTAATCCCCGTCTGTATTTGTTGTCTGCTAAAATTTTGGACTGTGTACTGTAATTAATCCCCGTCTGTACTACTGTCTGCTCTAATTTTGAACTGTGTACTGTAATTAATCCCCGTCTGTACTACTGTCTGCTCACATTTTGGACTGTGTACTGTAGTTAATCCTGTTTGTACTTCTGTCTGCTCAAATTTTGGACTGTGTACTGTAATTAATCACTGTCTGTACTTCTGTCTGTTCACATTTTGGACTGTGTACTGTAATTAATCCCTGTCTGTACTTTTGTCTGCTAAAATTTTGGACTGTGTACTGTAATTAATCCCTGTCTGTACTTTTGTCTGCTCAAATTTTGGACTGTGTACTGTAATAATTACCCGTCTGTACTTCTGTCTGCTCACATTTTGGACTGTTTACTGTAATTAATCCCTGTCTGTACTTTTGTCTGCTCAAATTTTGGACTTTGTACTGTAGTTAATCCTTGTCTGTACGTCTGTCTGCTCAAATTTTGGACTGTGTACTATATACGTTAATCCCTGTCTGTAAACTCCGACGAAAATTCCTAGTTGTTCGCCCACGTCTGGTCTGTGACAGTCTCCCAGAATGTGACTAATGCGCTTTACAGATCTATACAGATCTACACAGTGTGCTGTGTCGTCCCCTATCGGGCAGAGGCCCCACTGCCTTCGAATTAGTGGGTATTGATGTGAACTTTTCAAGGAATGAGAGAGTTAAGAGTACAGTCTAAGAGTAAACCTATTTTGTTTTTTTTTAATGGTTGTGTAGGATGCGCCTACCCCATACCAAGTGAACCAGGTCTGTGCGAACAGCGATAACTGCAAGTGGGACTACAAGATTAGTGGTGAAGAGGTTGTTGCTAGGGCAACCAGAGACGCAGACGACTGGCTCCAGAACCTTGAAAGATCCGCGTCTCCCGGTAAGCTTGTGGATAATTCTGTAGATAACTGAAATATCTTTATCTTTGAATGCGTGTATTATTCTATGCTTTTCCCCGTGTAGGTTCCGTGGCCCTATTATAGGGAAAACAAGAATAGACCCACTGCCTACACAGAAGCATGTCGTTAGAGTGGACTATTTGGGAGCTTTCTTCGAAGTCGGAGTGCATCTGCCTGAGAGGCAAGGGACCAGCAGTCTGCATTCACATGAGTCAGATCTGTAAAACGGATGCACACGCAACACTCAGGTTCTGTAACAGGACTGCAGTCCAGAAGTGGACGAACAACCAGAACTTTCTACCGGAGTTTACAGCCGGTGAACGCGAAGAAGAAGAAGAAGAAGAAGAAGAAGAAGAAGAAGAAGAAGAAGAAGAAGAAGAAGAAGAAGAAGAAGAAGAAGAAGAAGAAGAAGAAGAAGAAGAAGAAGAAGAAGAAGAAGAAGAAGAAGAAGAAGAAGAAGAAGAAGAAGAAGAAGAAGAAAAAGAAGAAGAAGAAGAAAAAGAAGAAGAAGAAGAAGAAGAAGATTCTATGCTTTTACTGGCGTCTGTGGCCTAGGCGCTGAGATTAATTCCGTGGTGCCGGGTTCGATCCTAGCTACAGACGATTTTGCTGCTGATCGTGGTTTCGACAGTGGTATGGCGAGTGGACGGTACAGTAAGCAATGGCAAACTACTGAAATCACAGACAGTCACACAAACTCACACACAAGCACGAACGCACGCACGCACACACACAAATTGGGATTAGTTATGCAACACCATGTAAAAGATACGCAACAGTTTTTTTTAAAAATTATTGTATTTGTGTATTTGAAAGAGGTTCCCCCACTCCCTCTTTCCCCGCCCCCACTGCATCCACCCTCTCTGCATCCGCCCCATCTTTACCCGCCTCCTCTTCCCCAAACTTTCTTAACGTCAGAGCCGCTGGAAAAAAAGAGTTTAAAAAAAAAAACGTTTCGACGCCTTCTGACATATCGAGGCATATAGGGCTAGACCTGTATCGTATAGACCAATCTGCGATAGGTGTTTGAAGTGGTCAACATCTGGCCGGCCGAATTTACTTCCCAGCACTTTAGCTGGTACCCATTTAAGGGTGGTTTGACCTGGGAGCCAAGGTCGTTTTTGTAAAACAACCTGGCTTCATCAGGACCCGAACCTACGACCTTCCGATCCGCAGGCAAGCATCTCGACCCTACACCAAAGTGGCTCCCGGAAGAGACCATACAATATAAAATAAAACTCTGTGTGATGTGAAGTCGTCCTGGGCAATCCTCCGAATAACGGCCACATATTATGGCGGCCTAAAACAGGGCCTCAGTCACATGCGCACTTCCAGCGACTATACGGCCACCGCCGAGAATATCTTGTAGTGGCGTAGATTGGGGCTAAACTAGAAGGGTGGGACTCACTAGCAAAGCTGCAGGAGATGCGGAAGCTGCTGCTCGTGAGTCACACCCTTCTAGTTTAGCCCCAATCTACGCCGCTACAAGATATTCTCGGCGGTGGCGGTAGTTGGCGGAAGTGCGCAAGTTAAGTCCCCTGAAGTGCGCAATTTACATGTGACTGAGGCCCTGTCATATTGTTTTTGTGGCCGCCATAATATGTGGCCGTTATTCGGAGGATAGCCTCGTCCTCTATTTTTAATAATTTTCTATCGATCTTGTTTAGAAAGCACAAAGCACAAACCACCTATGTCTTGGTGTCCGTGTTGTTATTGAATTCTTCACTGTGTGTACTATCACACAAATAAACTACTAACCGTAACTCTAGATCTAACCCAAAGCTATGGCACGCATCGGATATCCCAACGAAGTAAGATACTCAAAACAAGGTTTGGACTTGTAAAGTCAACAGCTGGGTGGTAAACTGATGTATGACCAGCTAGAGGTTTGTCCAGACCCTTAAGGGGCCAGTGAACACTGGGGAGACACAATTCTGAAGAGAATGGTACAGCACGGAATGATCAGGGAGTCTGGCCGACACTCTTCGCTGAGAGAACAGGCAAGATGGAAATGCAGTGAGACTACTCCCCTACCAGCAGAATTGGAAATCTGCTCACGCCTACACTTTGATGAGGTTTTTTTTTTTTTTTTTACTTATCCAGAAACCATGAGTTGTAAACCCTTTGGCTCTGTACTATGGATATCGCAACCCTTCGGCATTGATTCCATTATAGGTACCGTTAATCTGGGAGAAATGTGGCTTTTCTGCCTACTCCCGGAAGTGAACCCGGACCACAAGGAGTTTGTCACCCGGCCGCCGCGAAAGTCAGGTTTAACCAGCTTCGCTAGAGAGCCAAGGTGGAAGAGAAAAAGAAGAAGAAGAAGCTCACGGAGCGCTTATGGAAGTATCCCGAGTTCTGTTATGTTGGTTCTTGAAACTCAAACTAATCTGTAAAAAGAAAAAGGATAACACAGACCGTCAAACATGAAGATATGAAAGTCAGCAGTAAGGTAATCAACAAATGTCCGAGTGGCGTCCACTTTCTGAACAAGACATGTTTTACCATCTTGTTTCTTTTAGTTGAAAGTTGTGGTTTCCCTGAGGTGGGCGATGACGTCACGCTGAGTACAGAGAACTTCACTACAGGATCGGAAGTCAAGGTCACTGGCTGCAGGAATCAACAGTCACTGGACTCACCAGTTGTGTTCAGGTAAGGGAGTAGGTGGTAAACATACCCTTGTCCTTTCTTTAGTGCTCTCTTTCCCACACACGTTCTTTCATTTCCTTCTACAATTGTCTAATATAACTTAGGGAATGGGAACACATTTTCACAATTCTATCATACTGGGTTTGAAGAGACAAGCAGTGAAAGGAGAAGATAAGAAAAGGCAAACTGATCTTCTTTGACTCTAATATCTACTCTTTATTCATTGTACATCACCGAGCACAAGAGATGGAAAAGAGAGAGCGTGATAGAAAGAGAGAGAGAGAGAGAGAGAGAGAGAGAGAGAGAGAGAGAGAGAGAGAGAGAGAGAGGGGGGGGGGGAGAGAATACTTATAAAGAGAGGAAGAGGGCATGTTAATAGAGTGAGAAATAAAAGCGTAAAAAAGAAATGGACTAACAGGGAAAATGACAATACAACAGTTTTAGAGTAAAAGAGATTCACAGTTTAAAATACCGAGGTATATTCATCGTGTACATTATTAAACTCAATGTGAAATAAGATGCAAATGTCGAGTGGCCATGACAAGATGCAGGTGTCAAGTGATCATGACAAGACGCAAATGCCAAATGGCATGACAAGACATAAATGCCAAGTGACTTTGACAAGACACATGCCAAGTGGCTATGACAAGACACTAATGCCAAGCGGCCTTGACAGCTATGACAAGACACAAATGCCAAGCGGCCTTGACAGCTATGACAAGACACAAACGCCAAGTGGCTATGACAAGACACAAATGCCTAACGGCCATGACAGCTATGACAAGACACAAATGCCAAGCGGCCATGACAGCTATGACAAGACACAAATGCCAAGTGGCCATGACAGCTATGACAAGACACAAATGCTAAGTGGCTATGACAAGACACACATGTCAGTAGAATAATCTGACACTTGGCTGTCTCTTGCAGCTGTCTCAAGGAGACTCTGGAGGAGGCTAGGAGACACGAGCGGGCAGATTATGGAACCAAGAGAACAAACAAAACCACCAACGAGGATTACATCATCCATTGGGTCCCTCGACCGTACGCTCTCTGCTCAGGTAGGCCTTCCTTCACGTTCACTTGTCTTATATTTATTGATTGACACACCTAACATTTCACACACGTCTCCACGACATAATTAACCCGTTCCTATTGCAGGGAGACAACTATAAGACCACTATGGTCACACGCGGAATATTTTTCACATTTCGGGTTTATATCCAAACCCAAAAAATGTTTTCAGTATTTTTTGGCAAAGTAAAATACTGAAAATTAAAAACGATAAATGGTGGTCCAAAGGACGTTATGTTGAGAAGCTCGCTTTCCTACGAAACACGCCTGGCCAAATTAGGAGCTAAAACCAAGGAGGTAACATCAGAAGTCAAAGGGTAAGAAAAATAAAATTGACAACAAAATAAAGAATGAGGAGTCTGACATGGAGGAAAGAAGCATTAAGCCCAGAGACGGAACAAATACCAGAACTTTAGCCACGAAAGTGGCGCAAAAAAACAAGACCACAAATATAGCCAGAGACTGTTGGCAGCTTAGGCTAGCTAGCAGCAGGTTGTACGTGGTTGATATACATAGCCACACACATACATGAGAGCATTTTTCATGTGGCTACATATTGATGTGAGTCGTGGACATCTCTCAGTCCTTAAGAAAAAGAATAGGGGCTTTTGAGCTGAAATGCTGTAGAAAGATTCTCAGAATATCTTGAACAAAGAAGAGAAGAAATACTGACACCTTGAAAGATCTGAACATTAAGGAAGATTGGCTAATAAACAGCACCCTGTCTCGAAAGATGAAATATATTGGTTATATCAAGCGCCACGACGGATAAAAAAAATTATAGCAGAAGGCATGGTACCAAGAAGGAGAGGCAGGGGCCGACCGACATGAAGATGGGCACAGGATATAAGTGACTCCTTGAGTATGAACATGCATGAGGCGGGAGAACTGGCGAGAGACTGAGTTTCTTTCATGCAGACTGCGATGAGAGCGACGTTCTGCAAAGGACCTGCTACATGATGATGATGATGATGACACACATACATAGATACATACATATTTACATACATTATATATTGTTAATGTATTGTTTAGTCCATGGAGTCTCATTATGTCTGTGTTGCTAACATGTTCCATTGACGATCATTGGTTCTTGAACAGAAGATACAGATGAAGCAGGCAACTTGCCCTTGATCATCGGCGCAACTGTAGGAGGTATAGTTGTCATCATCATCATTGTGGTGGTGGTTGTGGTTGTTCTGAAAAAGAGAAAATCCGGATCATCCAGGTGAGTTTCTGTTGTTTGCAGGCGAATGTGTGTTATGTAACGTGGGTCTGTGTTGCCGTGTACAAGCGGGTCTGCGTTGTGTGCAGGCGAATGTGTGTTATGTAACGTGGGTCTGTGTTGCCGTGTACAAGCGGGTCTGCGTTTTGTGCAGGAGAATACGCTATTCAGATGAGTGTTATTTACAGACTCTGAAACCGGTCTCCCTTAATTTTATTAGTTCTGACCACCAAGATTAAAGCGACATCTCAGTTATTGCTGTAAAATCTTGCTCTAGTGATCAAACCACTACTCCTTAAAAATTGGTTTTACTCACAGTCTTAGAGTTTTCATTTACAGAAGAATCAGAACTCATTACAGTTATATGTAATATTATTAAATTAAATTGATTTTCAGTCCACATTTGGAGGAAAATGCAACAGCCGACGATTGCTAGAAGTACAAACTTACCAGGACAGTTAGTAAATTAGTGACAGATTGTTTGGGAGCTGCGAAGATGCGGTTTTATAGACGAATGATAATACCCTCGACAGACAAAATGAATAATGAAGATATCCTGCAGCACACTGACACACGAAGAGAACTGATTGGCCACATCAGAAAGAGACAATCTATATTCGCTGGTCATAGAATAAACAGGAGAAAACTGGAGTACATCGTGACATTGGGAAAGCTGGGGGAAACAGGGAAAGGGAAGGCAGAGGGAGACCGAGATAAGAGATGGATATGGATACCTTGGAGAGTTGATTGAAAGTCAAAGAGACAGAAGGTTGTGGATAGACATGACAACAAACGCCACACGGCTTGGAATATACGAAGAGAAGATACTTCATACTGATCGTAAGTTGTCAAGAAAAACAACTGAGATAGCAGAGTTTGAGAGTAAAGTATGCACAGCACTAGTTCCCTACAACTTCATTGACAGTTGGATTGGAAGAGAGATTCCAGACTATACAGCTGTTAATTCAGAGAGATAGATTGGAGTTCTTCTCCCTCTAAGCGTTTCTGCTTTCATATTGTATGACGTTCTTGTTGCGGCCATCAATGGATTCGTTTTAAAGAAATTGTCAAATCATTCCAGTCTTTGTTTTTCAATGAATTCACCTATATGTGTTATCCCAACAGTTAGTTTCTCAAATGATCTCTTCTATTTTTGTTCACGGCCTTTCTCAAACATTTCGTTTTGCAAGTGGTCAGTTTTGTAAGTCTTCTCTTGTCAAATTAACTTTCATATTTAATATCACTAAATTGTTAGTTAGTTAGTTAGTTAGTTGGGTTATCCTCATTGCACTCCGGACATGTTCATAGGTGCTCAGATCCTCCCCTCAGTATGAACCCCAACGTCCGATGGCTAATAGTACCAGTTCTATGTTGATTAACAAGTCTTCTGGCGTAGCTGGTGTGCGTCTCGTTTTTTGCTGTGCCGATCTTAATTCCCAAATCTGCCATTCTGGCGAGTGATGTGGATTCACTGCCACCAAAGTCCTCTATCCTTCCCATTTCTCTGAGGGCATTGATAATATCAGCATGATCCATAGGCTGACCGTCGGTAGTGATAGCGGATCCAGCCAACATGTCAGCTCTTTCATTTCCATCGACGCCTGCGTGTCCCGGAACAAAAAAAAAGGTGACTCCACGAACTAAATTGTGTTTATATTTAACACTTGTATATTTTGAATTTTCTGAAGCACGAAAGAGAAGACACCATCGGAGAGAAGAAAGAAACAAGTAGAGGGGGACCCTGGTTCGGCAGAGGCCATGCTGTCCCGTGTCGAGGACAGAAGGTCAGTTCTTGTCTACAGACTCTCCTACTGGTGATCAGTCTTCCAGCTTTCTGATCCTTGTCTTCTTTTTTCATCTTTTCCACATCTGCCTGCTCTTTCTTCTTTATCTTGCTTCCCCTTCTTCTTCATTTGAATAGTAGTATATATGCATATATATAGTGTAATAGTAAATTATGTTTTAGTTTAGTATAATATATTAGTAAAGCATAGTACAGTATAGTATAATAAGGGTTTTTATTCTGGCGATACGCAACAGTACGCAGTACCCGCACTAATTGTGCAACAGTACGCAGTACTCGCACTAATTGAATGCCTCCGCGTTACTGTAATAAACACTTTACTTTCGGCAACGATTTAGGGGTGGGGAAAAGGGGGGGGGGGGGGTTGTACCGACATCTTCTTGTATTTTTCTTTTAAGAAGCCCTAATATAGAATACTGTATATGGTATAGTTTTCATAGCATTGTACTGTATCATGCAGGAATGTACAGCTAAATGTCATGTCACACTCTTCAATATTTACGGTGGAACCCCGCCAAAAGTAGATACACGTGTATGGCATTTGTCAGGAGATTTGGAACCGTTTCGTTATGTAAGTTTCCATATATATGTCTATGGAAAGCTAATGGTAGGATTCATTTTTGTGCGTGTTTCATTTTATGTTGGTGTAATTCTTTAGCAGCGTATGGCGATAAATGCGCCTGACAATAAAGGGTGTTATGTATTGTTTATGCATTGTTTAAATTTAAAACAGTGGAGCAATTAGTTTGAAAATCCTTGCATATGTTGCAGCCCAGTTTATAAGCCGAGCAAGGAGCCAGTGCGCATGTCGGAAGTCCTAGGAAGCAATGTCTAACCAGGTCAAGGCCAGCGTCCCTGACCTCCCACGGATGGCAGCATTCCAGCTTTATATGTGTTGTTATTA